TTTGCAGTACGCTCTATTCCAGCCTGTTATCCATCTGTATTCCAGGAATGTTTCAGAACCCTTTGCGACAACATGTTCTACAGTCATTTAGTCCTGGCTATTTATTCTATGTCTATAATACTAAATTTAGTGCAGATAACATGCAAGAAAAGCATCTTATAAATAACGTTTAATATATTTGATGCAGTTAGCACTTTTGATTGCACAAAATGAAAACACAAAGGACTAATAATGGTGCCTTACAGACATTCCCAGAGTTGAGTTCTTGTAATGGTCATGCAGTGGTACCAAATAACTGGTGAATAACAGGATTGTGTTACAGATTCACTCCTATTTTATACTGTGTGAATAAATATTTAAATGTTGGTTTACTTCTCCTCAAGAAGTGATTTAATTTCTTTCACTGTTACTGCTGTAGTAGTGTTTACATGGACACTGGTAACAAGTTTTACTTTCTTCAAATCTTTTCAAAGTCCTGCAAATCTTTGCCTTTTTTAAAATTAAAATCAGAGCTAAGCCTGAGTCAAGTCAGGATTTGATCCAAATTTTCAGCTCAGGTTTCTGGAGCCAAGCATAAGTAACTTTAACTAGAGAAAGTTTCTGTGGTATGTTTTTAATTCTGAAGCTGAAAAGTAATATATGGAGGTCCAAACAATGATAAAGCTGCAAAAGATACATCTGACTCTGGAACTTTGCCTATGAAAGTGTGACCCACATTGGGACCTACTGAGGTTCCAGGTGGGATCATCTTTTCCATTCCCCACAAAACTCATGAGGAATGCTGAAAGATCAGAGCAGCCCTCTCCTGGCACAAGACCTTTATTGTCCCTCAAGTAAGCATAGGAGATGCTGCCAGAAAGACTTGTAGTAAAAAGAGCTGCTGCTGCTGCTACAAAATTGAAGGTGGAAGAGAATCATGTGCCAAGTACCCCTATCCATATCTTTGGGAGAGCATGCTGACAACACACCAAGAACTGAGTCCCTACAAAGCCTACCACAGGCTGGGAAGGCCAATAAAGATGGAGGGGAATGTATTCCTTTGAGAAAAGCTTTAGCTAACTTTTTACGAAAACAAGCTTCAAAACAAATCAGTATTGTTGTTAGGGTTCAAAATTTTGATGTCCTTCTTAAAAATTTAAACATTTTGTTAGGAAACTAATTTTGATAGAGAAGATTTTTTTTTTAACCAATATATTTATTTTGGAGCAACTTACTCCTTCCCTCTCTCTCTGTGACTGTTTCAGTTATACCAATGCAGAGATGATTAATACACATCTATTTCACTTCTGGGGTAAGAATAGCTACTAGCATAGCTTGGTTGGCATAGATCTCACTAGAACAATCGAAGCCAGTAAACAGTTTGTATATGTTATGTACTCTCTCTTTCCTATAATTATAGCCTGAAGTCTGGAATTACACCTTCTCTTTTTCTGCTTCCTGGCACTTGGGATTGCTAGAACACACTGATCCCTTTGTTTCAAAAGGGTCGAGCCTGGAGTACACTTTGGGGTACATTTGGCAGCACTCTGAAGTTTGATCTGAACAGTGATTTCAAGTGTATTTGAAGATGAGCCAGCAGAGCCTGGAGCTCTCACAGTGTATATTCACAAGCGAAGAGACACAAAGTCTAGCTCAGGGCCCAGCACAAGGGGTGCTCACCTTCTAATCCTCACCAACAGACTCCTCCACCGCCTTTCCGTTCTTTTGTCTTTGCCTCCCTCCTCTGTCAGCACTCACCTACTTCACAAAGACATCGTTACTGCAATTTGGAAATGTTTCCTGTAAATACTACGGTTGGTTACAGTTAACCACCTGGGACAAGCAGTCTGTTTCCACAACACGTTTCCTACAACTGCAACTGTTTTTGCTCACAAACACGTGTTTTCTTTTTCCATCTTCATTCATTTCTCTGTGTCTTGATTTTTACTCTCCCATCCACACACGCCTCTCAGAGCTGGCTTCTTTCCTCCTCTAACCTGATTGTCCCCCAGTCCCTGACTACCCTTCTCCTCAAGCAGAGGCTGCCCTTCACCACATGCAGTAAATCCTGTCTGAAATGCAGCTTTTCCTTCTCCTCAAGCCCTATTCTTTCCTCATGTCCTACCCACAACACTACTCTATAGTGATAATCTCCTTTTTTTCCTATCATCTCACTTCTGACTATTTACAACCTGGAAAAGCCTTCTGTGAATTTTTATGCCTTTAAAAATGCGTTCAGTGATACACCGAGTTCCAAACGGAAATGGGCTTGCTCACCCCTTAGTCCATACACCACAAATCTTCAGTGCTTCTGCCTTCTAGCTCCAAGTAACTTGGAAAACAACACTTCTGCAGTTTCCCCAAGGACACAGAAAAGATTTTCTCTGTGTGTATGATGTGTATTTTTCTTTGCTCTCTTTAATCACATAATTTTTATTTATACTTACTGTTACCACCCTAAACAATGTCCATGTTAGCAGAATGATACTGCAAGGTCTGCTGTGAAACCAAGGTGCATTGAAGTGTCTTATTCCATCTCCAACAGTTTTCCACTTCTGCTTGCAGATGGTGAGCAGTTGTCCACAGCACTATAAAATATTCTCTCAATAGAATGTTTTGTGATTCTTTCTGCAGAGGCTTCTACAGTCTATCCACACAAATTATATTCCGTTGTCTCCTGCTGCTTCTCATTCTTTGCTTCAATATCTGGCCTATATTCTCATGACTCTGGGTCATTCCCTCGGGGCTGGAGCAGAAAGCCTCTACACTCATGTGTTTTCATTTCCTGTCCTCCTAGTTGAGGAGGGGAACAATGACTTTCACTGTGCTATTTTTAAGGTCCTGTGATGGTTTTAAATCCCACTTCCCATCTGCACCACTCCCCATTAGGTGTGTAAACAAGCTGCAGTCATTCAGTGTGTAGAGATTTCAGCCTGAAATGCAGCTCATGTGCTCCCTCATTTGTTCTGATGCCTCTTTTGCTGATATATTGGTCTAATCTCTCCTGTAGGCCCATGGGGCATGCTGTAATATTCTCTCCATCAATGTGACAGTGGAGGCTACTGGCGCTCAGCTCAGCAGCAGGGCACCTCCCTGCAGAGTAGATCTAATGAGATGGTTCCCTTTGGGGTTGCAGTGTGTGTGGCTTTGCTTCTTGGTACAAGTTCAGGTACCCTATGAATAATTTTTTTTTGATGATGCTTGAGAATATTTCATTGTCATTGACTTCCCTAAAAGATGAAAAAAAAATGAAGTATGTTAAGGAGTTTAGCCCAGCCCTAAGGCTTGCAAGGGTATTGACCTATAAATTCAGTCAACAGGCGCTAAGTGGCAATTCAGCCAAGTCTAAACAAGTTGCCCAGAGAGGCAGTGGAAGCCCCATCCCTGGGAACAACCGAAGAAGCTGAAGATGTCCCTGAGCATTGCAGGGGGTTGGATTAGGTGGTGTTTAAGGGTCCCTTCCAACACAAACGGTTCTATTATTCAAAATGCCACTTCAGATCCTGGGACTAATGTCTTGGACTGGCTGACTCAAGGCAACTGAGAGCCCCCTAGGAAAAAACTGTCTGCACCGGATGTCAGGAGCTGCTACACCTCTGTGTATCCAGCCCCTGTGCGTCCTTCAACACAGTTACCTAACAGAGGTACTGAACCACTTCTCCAGGATATGGAGTGTAGATAAAAAAGGGCCCAATGTGCAGGAGGCCCTGAGTGTGCAGGAGGTATTTAGGAGAATGCAAGCGTTGTAGGTGGCCTGGGTTTATGGGCAGTGCTCCAGAAGGAAGAGCGTGCATTCTGAAGCCATTGCAGTTCCCTGTGGCCAACAGGCTGCTGTGTGGGACTTTGTTACAGGGCCGCTTATATCTAGGTTTGGAAGGGAGGTCTTCCAGAATGGATAGTGAATATGTAAAACCCAAATGAAATGCAAACCTAGGGACCCATACAGGTATTGTCTGGCACATGGCAGCAGTGAATGTGAGATACATGCTGATGAGCTGGGTGACCATAGAAGTTATTTGGCTTCTGAATGTAAATTTAACCGTCTTTTAGGTGTGACAGTGATGAATTATACACATTCGTAAAATTTTCACACCCCAACTCTTTCAAAGCTTGTAGTAGGGTGGGGACTCCTGTTATGTGGTTATCTGGTCAGCTGCCTTGAAGGAGTTAGGATAGAAAGAGCCACATTCTGCGGTGCTACTTGGGGTTTGTGGTGTGATTTTTATCTCAGCATTGTTGTGATTACTTTTTAAAGGTAAACTCTTACTACCACTGTGTTGACAAAGAGGATCTTTCTCCAGCAGAAACAGTCCCCAAAGTTATGATGCATTCTTGTAGATAAATCAAAAGTTATGCTGAAAATTGCAAGGACAGGTGAAGCAGCACAACCCTGGTTTGGACTTCCAGAAACACTGAAGTGGCTGAGGACACACACATGCTACTGTCTGTTCCCAGGTGACTTAAAGAGCTTTTGAAACCTCTGTTTCTCAAGTGTTTTCAAGCCAGGCTTCACTGTTGTTAGTGGTTAACTGAAGCAAGGCTTAGACAGCTGAGGCCTTGGTGTATTTGAAGGAGTGAAAACAATGAAATCACAAATATGTAGCTAAGTCTCCTCTGTTTTGTGTCTGTCATTCAGAATCTCACTGCCTTGGGAACAAAGGCAGTACCGAAGGCAGTGCTCCCACCTGCAAAGGTGAGATCACTCGATCGTCCTGCTCCAGGCTTGGTCCTGCCGCCCTCCTCTGATGGGTGCCAGAGCCAAGACAGCCACAGATGTGTCACCCCCGGGCTCCTGCGGCAAGGGACTGCTGAAGGGTTTGCTTCCCCTTCTGCAGGAGACGCTGCCAAGAGCTGCCCTTCACGCTGGGCGCTGTGAAACGGGGGGAGCAGCATTCCCAGGCAGTGCAGCCGCTGCCCGCAGCGCCAGCCCCGCGGCGGAAAAGCCCTGCGCCTCCCACGTGCCCCGCGAGGAGCACCCGCCACGAGGCGGGCGCGTCTCCCGTGACCGCACGGGGGCGCTGCCGGCCCGGCTCCGGCACGGCCGGGCCCTGCGGGGAGCGCTGAGGGCGGGCGGCGTGAGATCGGGCACACCCAGAACAGGGAGCGCTGAGGGCGGGCGGCGTGAGCTCGGGCACACCCAGCACAGGGAGCGCTGAGGGCGGGGGGCTGTGAGCACTGGCATACCCAGCACAGGGAGCCCTGAGGGCGGGCGGCGTGAGCATGGGCATACCCAGCGCGGGGCAGTCCTGAGGGCGGGGGGCGTGAGCACGGGCACACCCAGCGCGGGACAGTCCTGAGGGCGGGGGGCGTGAGCTCGGGCATACCCAGCACAGGGAGCCCTGAGGGCGGGGGGCGTGAGATCGGGCACACCCAGCGCGGGGAGCCCTGAGCACGGGCATACCCAGCGCAGGGAGCCCTGAGGGCAGGGGGCGTGAGCACGGGCATACCCAGCGCGGGGAGCCCTGAGCACGGGCATACCCAGCGCAGGGGAGCCTGAGGACGGGCGGTCGTGAGCTCGGCCGTACCCAGCGCGGGGCAGCCTTGAGCGCAGGCCGGGGAGGCCGCGCCGCGGGGCTGTGTGAACTTCAGGAGATGTTTCTAATGCCACACTGGGGGCTCTCGCTCACCCTGACCCCGGCCCAGCGTAGTTCCCGGCTTGCGGTGCAGCCCTTCAGGGTGACCCCGCACGGCCCGGCGCCTGCCCTCGCGAAGGTGTGGCTGCTCCCTGCGGTTTCCTGGAATCCCACACGAGTCTCTGCAGGTGCACGTGGCTTTAAAAGGGTGGTTCTTTTTCATCAGAAAGAAACGTAGAGAGCAAAGCAATGTTTGTGTCTCCGATGCCTGTGCTTGGAGGGACAGAGCAGGTTTCTTAGGGCTCAGGGGGTTTTGAAAGACCGTAGCCAAGAGGGAGGTTTGGTCTTCTGTGTAGTTATTTAACACTGTTCATCTGTTCTTGGTAATTTGATGAGAAAGAACAAGCTGTAAAAACAATCCTTCCAGCAGGCCAGGAAAGAGCAAGAGGTAATGGCATTTGAATAGAAGTCACGTCTCTGTGTCACTGTGTTTCCTTCTGGCTGTAGCACCCCCTCCTCAGGAGAGCGGGTGAGGATTGCTGATTCCAGACAAAGCCTGGGTTAGCTTGTTAGTAAAATTGTGATTACACATATCCACAGCAGAGAGGCTTCAGGTTGGAAGGTATCCCTTACTGTACACTCAGTAAAACTTTTTAGTTTAATTGCACTAGGTTGAAATAGGAGCAGTTCATAGATAAGGTTAAATATATGCTTATGATCAGCACAGCTTGTGTGGCCATACAGGGTCTGGAAACATCTATCATGCCAAACGTGTTAAAGAAAGTATGTGGCACTGGCCTGCGTGTGTTAAATTGGAAAAGAGGACAAATTTCTCACTTGAAGACACACATCACATCTTCAAGAGAATAGGAGACTGGATCGTGCTTACATCTTTTTCTGGTGTTGATACCAAGTCCAGGATACAAAACAAATGCAGAGCAAAATGAATTCTGTCGCAGCAACGGCCCTGTAAGGGAGTGGTCTAGGCACACTTCTTGCAACCAGCTTGGACGCTGTCACCACATGAAAAAGAATTTGCAGTAATAATTAGAGTGACAATGAGCAAAAAATAGAAATCAGATATCTATATTCTCTAGAGAACATGTGATTGAAATGACTACTCTAAATCATTACTTTAACCACATTGATCACATTACAGATCACTATAGGATATTCTGGTGAATTGGCCTTTATCATGTAAAGACTTCAGATTTCCTCACTGAAGTTCCCAGCCTCCATCCATGCACCTTTGTGCTCCTGGGAAACATGGCACTCAGAGCAAAAAGAACGAGCTCTGCAGCTGCCCACCTGCAGTCTCAATTAGCTGTCCTGTGTCTCTAGTGCACTCTCAATACAGTTCAGGGTGAACGTATCCAAATCAGCTCTTACCTAGATCACAGTGTCAGCCTGAATGCAGGAAGTATCCAGTTACCTTCGGGCAAGCTCCACAGTAGCTCATACAGCCTTCTGTTCAGAATAAAACCTCAGTAAGCTCTGCTCAGTCTAAACTGTTCCCAGCTACTATTAAGTTGGTCCAGGCAGATGTATATGCATTGTAAAGGAATCTGCAGTTCCCTGCTTGCCCATGACTGACTGAAAAAGAACATGCTTGGTCTCTTTGATCTCAGCTCTGTGGTTTCTGGTCATTAAAAGTGAATGTTGCTCAGGGGGCTTTTCTTGTCCTAGCCACACTGCTGCTTTGGTTTGGGTCTGTAGCCTCATGTGATCCTGACTGAACCACAGCAAAGCACACCCATACCCAGGGGAGAAGTCAAACAGCCTGCTGGAGCCTGCTGCAGCACAGTGAAGCTGGGGAAATAGAGGTGTCCATATTGTTTGTATTATATTTGTATTATAGATACTGCAGAATCCTGAATTTTCTGTCTCGTCATCAGAGTCAGCTGAGTTATGAAGACAAGTCCTCAACCTGCAAATTTCTGTAGGTTATGAGAGTCTTTCAGGATAGCATCACCCTATGTTTTTCCTCTTGTTGCATTCCTCACTAAGCACCCGCTGTTGGGTAGTTATCTGTGAGGCAAGATACTTGACCTATGATTATTTTTTTGTTCTCATCTGGTACAGCTCTTACATTTACACTCTCATGAACTTAGATGACTGTCAGAAGAGGTGAACGTTGCTGTTCCTCTGTTCTCCCTGTGTTGGTACTGCTGCTAAACATTAATGTTGCATTAGCATCTGGGGCCAATGATAGCACTGTTCCCTAGCCTAACTTCAGAATTGCTCAGGAATCCCCCTCTGGCTGGAAGCTGCCTTGGTTTGCTGCCAGGCCAGGAATGGAACTATGTCTCATCAGATAGCCCTGGAAAATATGGTGTGGTAAATCTCAGTTTTCTCTCAGTAGATCTGTTTACAGATCAACTGCTTATTCTGCTGTTTCAGGTGACCACTGAAAAATCACATGCATATGTCCTATCTCTTTTTAAATCTTCTTGTTGCTTGCCCTGTTGGTTGCTCGAATTCTTTATCCTTTGTCTGCCTGCTGTACTCAGCAGAAGAGGCAAGGCATGGCCCTTGTGAAGCCCTCAGCACTGAAGTTGTGCTCAGTACATACCATAGAGGTCAGCATCACAGCTGATGCTTGTTTTTGTTAGCTGAACTAGCCTCCCTCAGACAAAAGTGGTCCTCGGGTGCTGCTATGTAACTCTTCAGAGGTGCTGCTGGATGTGATTATTGGTTATATATATATAACTATTGGTTATCCCAGATGTTTTTTAAGACTTAGCTCTGTGCCTGATGTTAGGGGGTGTGTCTTGTGACACCAGACTGTTTGTTTTGTTGGTGTTCACAGTATTGTGGTGAGGGTACATGTGCTCCTTAGGCTGGGTGTCTTGCTGCACATGCAGTCAACAATATAGGGTTCTGTAGTTAGATCACTGATTCATGTTATATAGATTTAAGCATGGACCTCTGCAGGCCATTGGGGTTTTTTCCTTCTGTGCTAGGTAAGAAAAAAGGTGTAAAAATAAAATAAAAAAAAAAGTAAGCCAGTCATGCCAAGCTACTTCTCATTGGGTTGCTGTGGTTACACTGTGTTCTTAGTGACATCAGTGAAAGCTCAGTAGTGTTTGCATGATGGACTCTTTTGCTGCTTCTTTTGCTTGAAGAAAAAAAATAGTTGAAGGGGGAAAAATTAATTTGGCCATTTGCATCTTTCCTTCTAGTTACATTTTTGTAACTAGGTCATTTACACTGGTGGTTTACAGAGGAGCAAGTGGTGATTTTATTATTAGCTTTATATCATACAGCTACATATTGTTCTAGTTGACATGGAAACATAACTAGTTTTCCGCTATGAAAAGAAACATTTAATTGTTTCCAAACTTTGAAAACTACCCCAGATATCCCCTTTGGTCTGTCTAGGTTTTTCCACTGTTTTCAAGGCTGTTTGTGTTGTTCTTCCATTTCTTCTGTAATACAGAACAGCTGATCATCCTTGTTTATCTGAAGTCCACAGGGTTTAAAAAAAGTGACAGGAAAAATCCATGGAAGAGAAATCTCTTGAGGCTGTGAAATAGAAAGACACCACCCTCTGAAGCTCCTGAAGTTTCATAGCATACTTTCCTTGATTTTTATGCTCTTCCCTGACATCTGCTCTTGGTCATTCTTGGTAAGTGGACAGGTGCTGCCATGTCTTTTAGCATCATTCCTACCTTTTTTTTTCTGTCTGGTCTTGAATGATGCCTGCAGACACTGTAAAGCAGGTACTATTTTATTAGTACTCATTTCTGTTGTACTCTTTCTGATCACTGTGAATAATAACATAAAGAGTTACTGCTGCTGTGTTGTTCTGTTGCAGAACCGGGTGTCTTTGGGTGTTCCCACAGCCAGCAAGGTAACAGTGAGTGCAGCAGGGCTCAGAGCCAAGGACTATGTAGTTCACCAGTTTCAAAAAGACAAGCTATGATATCTGATGCTTAAATAGCTACACACAGTACAAAAAAGAGGCATGACTGCAGTATTTGTGACTTGGAAAAGGAAAAGAAAAATTAAACACAGTATTACCAGCACAATTCAAACTCCAGCTGGAGATGGATTCAAAAGGCTAATCCTTGGTAGGGGGCAGCACCTAAATTGTTGATAAGAGTCACAGATGAGTTTTTCATATCGGAGATCTTTCTTGCATATGAAAGAATGATACTTACTGGTTTTGAACCTTATACAACCTGTTCCTTCTGTCATAAAAATCTACTGGGTAAAGGATGTTTAAGTATCTGAAAATTGTTGAAAGAAGTGATTCCTAGTTCTGTTGCGAGACATGGACTCATAGACTCATCACTAAATCTGCTGCTGATCCATGCTGTAGCAGGACAGTGTTGGTAATAGCATATCCTCTTCTGCAATCTCCAAGACCTTTAATGCAACAAACAAATAAATCAGTACAATGTTTGCTATTAGACTTGTAAAGTTTCAAGATAAGAATTTCTCAGTCTTTATCAGTGCAAAATTGCCATCTCTCACAGATTTTTGAGTAGGAATCAGGAAGGCCTGCCAGCCTTCAAAGTTTCCACTGAAAGTGCAGAGGGTTAGGATAGTCAGTGATCTAGGCAAGCTCCTGCCTGGCGTGGGGTTGGGCAGCAGCCATCTGTTGTCTCTCTTCCCAGCTGAGTACCACAGCCTTCAGGCAAGTGGCTCTGCCAACGAATACAAAATGCTACTTTGACCCAAAGAATGTTTTGTCAAACATGGTTTAATTGCTGCATTCATGCATGTGCACACATGTACAGAGGCTTTTTAAATAAATGAGTGCTCTCTGTAGGAAATTTCTGGACAATTCTGGTTAAGTGAAGGTGACTAATTGGATCAATTCACCCACCACTGGAAAGTGTGAGCCTTGTACTTGTACTTACCCAAGTGAACAAATTAGTCCAGGAACTAAATGAACTCTGCATACCTTGTAAAATCTCTTGATTTGAGATTTTGCTGGGGTATTCTTTTTAACCACTTTATTACAAAAGTGACGTGGTATCTCTGGTGATCACATATCATCAGTGCATCAGTTTCATGCTGAAAGAACTGAAAACAGCACTTCAGCAAAAAATGGAGATATTTTCTAGCAACAAGACAGAAACTGGCAACACTTCAATTTTCTGATAATTTATAGGTTTTATCTCAGAACAAAGTCAAGACAACATATTACTAAGTGACGGGTTTTGTTAAGAGTTTTTTATTATAATAAAGAGTGGGTTTAGGTAGCATGGAAAGCCTTCAGGCATGCTCAATATAGAGCAATGCATATTTCATATGCATGTTTTTATATTACTATATTTCCTTGTATATATTTAACAGATTTAAATCCCAAGTCTACTTTCCCACACTACCTGTTTCACATGCAACAAGCTGTTTCCAGCTTCTTCTCCTCCAGTTCTGTTGCTGGGACAGCTTTCTGCTGGGACAGCTTTCTGCAGCCCCTAAACATATCACTAAACTTTACGCTATTGTTACCGTTACATGATGAGTACGTTTTTGTGACTTAAAATCACATGGCTTAAAGCCACATGAACAAGCTCTTTGTGAGAGTCTGATTAGTTAGCCACAGGTGTCAGTGCTTTAGTTCCATATACTGGCCTCCATTACAATTAAATAAAGTAAGGAAGGGATTAAGTTAAAAGGAAGTTGGAAAGACCCAGATAGGTGCAACTGACAGTTCTGTTTGTCATAATAATTAACTTAACTTGAATCACGTAATGGGAACTACCTATAGCATAACCAGAAAAACAAAAAGGCTGACTAGTTATTGAAAAATAATTGGATCTTCATTAGCCTCTGAAATGTCACAAATAACACAGAACACTTCTGGTTTTATTTTAAGGTGAGAAAGGAAGATTAAAAGATTAGTTTTTGCTACATTTGGCCTCATCTGGATTTTGTGATATTAAAGGTTCGTTATCTTTTTTTCTTTGCAGGTTTGACACTCACATCCATTACTTCTGTTCTTTTGCAAAGATTAGATTTATGAGAATAAATAGTTTTAAATTCACTCCTAAACTGAAAATTTGAATTTTTAACAAACTAGGAAGTTGAGACAAAAATAATTTTATGTTTGACAAAAAGGACGTTTTTGTTATAAATTTGATAAAGTTAAATTTTTAGGTTAAACACTGTTCCAAAGCAGTCCAAGTATTTAATTTAAAAATACCAACAGATTTCATTTTTTCAGAATCTTTCTATACACAACAATTTGCCAAAGTAGACATATTTACTGTGAGTGGAAGAGGATATTAAGTTCAAGTACTTCATCTATCTAGAGCAGACCTAGGCACTGAGTGTTTCATGTTCTGCATGTTGAAAAGTAAGCCAAAACCAGCCATGTTGCCACATCTAAACCAACTTTTCAGGGAAAACCATTTCACGAGGTGCCTGAATTAGAGTTGACATTCGCGCTGTGTGCAGCCAGGCTGACTTCCTCTCACCTCCTCCAGACTCCTCCCTTTGCCACCTGACTTCCATTCAGGCGCTGTGCAGGTTGTTACCCTCCCCTGGGTGTCATCCACCAACTGAACAAGACATAGCCCGTATTGCCTTCCAACTATTTCCCATATTTGTTGGATGAGCCACGAGCAGTCAGGTCCTTAGGAGCACCCAGCATTGACAAACACGTGTGCACAGTCAGCATCGTGCCTGCCCTCCTTCCAGGAACCGGAAAGCAAACTCATAAGGTGTATTTCCAACCGAGGCATCTGAAACGTGAGAGTGAAGTGTCTTTGTCCACTCCCGTGAAAGAACAACACCTTCCTTGTGATCAGTGATAGTAGAGCAATTGCTGTATTTAATGCAATATATGAAAGTCATAAAATAGGAAGTAAAAACATGAGAAACAATAATGAAGTTGATCTGAAAATTACAGTATAAATTATTACATTAATACGAGGAATTTTTACATCAGATGTGTGCCTGTGGCTTACATATGGGAGGAGGAATAACATAAGTTTGGAACCTATTGGAGAAAATATTTTAATGATATTATATTATTGCAGAGAGATGACGAGAAAAAAGAACTTGAGATGTTTCATCTTAGTGAGAGGGTACTATAAAAAGAAGACTAGACCAATAGTCTAGTCATATAATAAAGTATGATATAATGAATTAGTTTGGCATTGTAAGAGAAAGGAAAATATTATTAATTTGTGAAGCAGACAGTCATCTTTGCTGCAGAATTAAAAGTGAGAAAGCTTTTATAAATGCTACCCACTCGATATAACACCTCAACAAAGCTCAGCTATGAAACCAACTTATTCTGCTGATTATTGCTGTTCTAGCCATCTTTCCTGCATGTAAACCATTAAGTCAGCCAGTTATGAAGCTGTTGAATGTTTCCAGAGTGTCACTTACCAGAAGGATTTGATAACTTACAAAGAAATGAACTGTTTTGCTTTCTGGTCTAGATTAAGCACTGCTAAGGCACCACGCTTTGTGACAGTTTCAAATGTGCATTATTTTTGGTTCTTGTTTCCCCCTCCAAGTATTTTTACAATTTTTATCCAGCTCATTTCATCTACATTTTTAATCTGCATGATGCAAATCAATTAGACTGTAATACTGCCTAACACCTTTTGTAGCACAGGAGAAGAGAAGGCCTGTTTTTAATCACCGATTTGTTGTATTTGTTTGGGTTCAAACAAAGTAGAAAGATGACAATTGCAAGAACTAGCAGCTCTGTCTAGCAGGTAAAAAGGCCAACTCTGAAAGCATACAAGACAAAAAGAAGTCTTATCAGAGTTTCTACAGAACTTCAAACACCTCAGCTTTCCTCACATACCAGCACATGGAGAGAGGTCTCTGGAGATCAGCTGAAGGCCAACAGGGTCCAACTTCCAAAAAGAATTTTCACAGGGAAGAAGGAGGTTGAGATATTTGTTACAGTTGATGATGCTGCAAGTGCCCAGCACTAAGTGCTGTGGAAGGTAGTACATACCAATCCCTCACACTTTCTGGTTTGTGGTGGGAAGACTTTCTAGTTTGCACAAAAGTAAGCAGTGCTTCTGCTGGCCCCTTTCATCACTAGTTCAAGGAAGCTACAAATCCCCAAGGAGAAACTCTAAAAGGAGGACTAAGGAGTAGTAAATTAACAACAACACATTTAATGTAGAGCAAGATTCATTTATTGCCTGTCTATACTGAACTCTAGGAGTCTTTGGGGTCTGGTTACTCAGTTTCTAGTTTGAAAGAAACACAGAATATTTGCTCAGTGTAGGTGTTTTTATTCTTATAAAACCAGTGATCCTACATTTGTCATGTCAATGGCAATCTTGGTCCAAACATTAACGTTCATTTCCTGTGGAAAACCCACATCCCAGGCACTGATCCTGTCTAGGAAGAACAGAGCACCCTGGTGCTTGTTCCAGCTTTCAACACAAGTTGCTGCATCACAGGGAAGAGCATGAATGTGGATAAATCCCACCCAGAACATGGCATAGTCCAGCCAAATGTTACCTTGTGTTTCATGTTTCCCAATTGTGTCACATTTCCCTTTACAGGAGGTGGTCATCTAAAAGTACTACCTGATGGAATCATATAATTGTATGAGATATTCCATTTGCCTTAAAAACAAGGTCTTGCATTTTGTTTAATGAAGCAGTTCAAACAGAAGTCAGAAAAGAATGAAGAAGAAAATCTAGCAATGAAGAAACAGAGAAGTTTTTGTTCAACTGTAACTTCATAACCACTAAAAAATGTTCATTAAAATATAGAAACATGATTGTGGTTAAGACAGCTCACTATGGAAACAGAAGAAAAGCTACATTTGAAAAATTGAAAAAGAAAAGAATAGTGAAATTTCGACTAGTTAATAATCTCTTACGTCATGGAGGCATCTGCCACGTCACCTCAGCTGCAATTGCTAATGATTCCCAATGAAGTTTTGTCCCTTGAACTCTTCCTTGCTCTGTCCCTCTAGTAAGCAACAAAAACTTTTGAAATGGCTTCAGTGACAATTTTTACAGTGCTCCCCACCCCATCCCTGGTTTCTAAGATCTTTTATCAGTAACTGTTATTTGCTCAAACATACCACAGTTCCTCACCATTCCTTTTTTTCTATAGAATAGAAAAGTGCCCTCAAGTAAGACTGTTCTCTTATCAGTCACAAAAACATTCACAGAAAATGATAACAAAGTCATGTAAGTGCTGACTGTCTGTGTGTAGAAGTGCCCAAGTGATGCTCAGGAATCTGCAGGATCAGCAGAGTGTGGTGCTGTGTATTTCTAATTATTTTCTCATTCCCTGCAGCTCAAAAATTTCCTGAATTTCACCTCTACCCCACACCTCCCTCCCAGCCATAAACCTGCATTCAAAATATACATTAACCTTCCCGGGAGTACAGAGGCCTCACAGCCTAGCTGTGATAGAAGTTATCTCAAAGTATCTTTCACATGATCAAGCAAACATACAGTTTGCAAATGACAACAGTAGATTGGTTTTTGTAATGCATAAATCCATCTGCTATACACTGGCCTGCTTTGGTTTGGATTTCGTGTTACAACTCTTGGATATGTCATCTGATCCCTGTTTGTGCCTCTCCTAGAAGCAAAGCTATTTAGTCATGGTTCAAACTCTTCCCACCCCAGGGAAAATTGGTGCATTTTCTGGTTCATTTTTCAGAACTCACTCCCCATCACATCCCCAACTTTTGTCTAGTGAAAGGAAGAAGCCCGTCGTGTCTTACCTTCCAATGTACTTTGCCTCCAAATCTCCTCAGCCCCTCACACACATTCCTGCACTTTGATGCAGATAAGTGCACCTGTGAATGCCCACTTGTGCAGCCAGAAACTCACCATCTCTGTTTCACAAACAGGCTGCCAGATCTCCCGACTGGGTGAAGAGAACATCAGAAGAGACTCTTCCTGAACCTCACCAAGCAGTGTGGCCTCATAATTTGGCTGTCCAGGTAACATACTCAGTTATGTTTTTAAACTCTCCATTCTAATGAGCAGAGTTCTGAGACCAAATCCTTTTGCCGTTGCTTTTTCCATTCTTCCCAGAAAGTGGCACAATTTCCTCTTTATTGCATTTTCTGGGTTGTACAGTGACTTAGAGTTTGCATCTTTCATTTTGGTACTGCTGTGATCTGACAGAACACTATAGTTGACTTGTATGGGTAAAATTTTTTGGAGTGCTGATCATGTAAAGGCGCTCTCCTAGTATCAGGGAAAAGCACAGACCTCTAGGTTCTGGAGGGCAGCACAGGACAATGGAAATTCCCTGAGGTCTGGGCTCTGCACTCATCAGAACTAGCTGCTATATGGACCATATGGAGATAGGTATAAATGCCATCTCTGCAGGCATTTAGTATCCACTCCTCTCTGTAGTGCCAGATATAAATTATGAGAATATCATTGTCAGTAAAATCTGTACTGAAATCTCACTTTGGTCTTCACTGTATCACTATATCTGCTGATTTGAGTGCACCTATTACCCTGCCAGAAAATTCAAAAGGGGAATCTGGCTTAGAACAAAAAATGAAAAGGCATATTTATGTAACATTTAGCTCAGGAAAGGCTGCTACCTTGTTAAGGAAAACCAGAGAAAATGAAGCACTGCACAAGTAAAAGAAGGTATGAAAAAGTAACTACTGAGAATTAAGAGAAGTTCATAACAGCCAGATAGTTTGGGCAAAATAATTTCTAATAGGATAATTAATAAACATCATACCAAGAATTACTAAAGTGTGGGAGCAAACACAAAATATTGCTATTTCCATACGTGAGATGATCGTTTCTGCTGTGCTCTCCCATAACCTTCACTACTCAGCTATTTCAGCAATTGCTACTAATTTATGGCAGAATTCTGCTCCGGTCATTACAGGCTGAATGTCTCAAGGAAAGGCTCGTGCGCTAAGAGGAAATAGTCCAGGTAGATGCAGAAGACCTAATTATGGTCAACCTAACTGCCAGAAATGGAGGTGAGTTGGAATGTCCACAGTGCAATATTCTATGGTGACACAGATTCACAGCCAGCTGTGGCCAGAGGTTGTGGATACAGGTCTAAAGCATCTCTTCACCCAGGAGGGATAAACTTGAGGAATAATTTACTTGAGCTGCTTTTGGATTGCTTAAGAAAAGTGAGTTCTTGGTCCCAGTATATAGGAATTGTCAAGGAAAGGAAAAAGAAGAAACAATTGATTCCTGATTAAGAGTCAGACACATGATTCACAGGATATCTGAACTACTACTTACTATGGTGGAAAAAATTGCCCTGTATGATTATTCACACTTTGTACAGCTTGTACAAGTGGATGTGTGGATCAAATCTATTTTTCATCATGGAATCATGGAACATATTTCTCTGATCAGGCTGCACTTGATGGGCAGAAATTTGGTCATTTTGCAGTGACACCAGATGTGATCTTTGACCATTTTTTATCCCCAAAACACCAAGTAGTGAAAAATTAGGGGAAAAATCCTAGACAGATGTCCGAATACTAAAAACACCTTCAGAAAAAGGATATGTCATCAGATGCTACTTTTACTTAATGCAGTACAATTGTATATCAACAAAGAGCAGTTAGAACCTGCAAACATTAGCAAACTGAGAATGGGAATATTTCTTTGCACCAGAAAATGGGCAAGAGGGCAAAAGGTAACTAAAAGAGCTATGAGATTTGATGTACTGGGAGCTGCTGCCACTGCAGGAACATGGATTAAAGGGCTGTGGGGTTTGACTTCACATCTGTGTAGCCCAGAAGATGTATTCCCAGCTGTGAACCAGAGACACATGCTGCCAGGTGTTTGAGTTGCAAAGCGAAATTTTGATAGCAAAGAGTCAGAGTAGTAGGTAGTAGCTGAGAATGCTGAAATAGCTTTAATCTCCAGCAGCTTTGTGTGTTGACTAGCATTTAGTGAGTGAGAGTGTTGAAGGGGTGCAAAGAAAACAGGATTTGAAACTAGGACGAGTTTTTTGTTTAAACATGTACAGGAGTTGCTGTCAAAGTTGTTACAGCTACCTTCTGCAAGTAAGTAACTTTGCTGGAAGTGAAAAAGTGATTGGCAGTGTCTCTGAGCGGCATCACAGCGGCTCTAACTAGACAAACAGAAGAACTGTCAGACTGTAACGGTGGCCAGTGAGGAGGGGAGCTGAGAACGTAAGCGTTGGCGTGAGCACACAGGCTGTTTCTGAAGGGCAAAACACAGGGTCAGAGGGGAAGGGTTCATGTTGTCTTCACTGCTTTCTAACATGTAGCCACTTCCTGTTTCTTCTGAGAACAGTGAATAAGAAATGAATTTGGGCAAAGCTTCAAGGTTTTTATTGACTGGTACATAACTAATAAACAAGATTATACACTGTCAATATTTTCATGGAAAATAGAGTCAGTTAAACACAGCAACATACATCTGCCTTTTGGATAGATGCTAATTTAGCATTTGTAAAACACAAGGCCCCAGCAGAGCTGGAACATCCTCCCAGCACAGCATAAGAGGGTTCCTGCTGGAGCCTCTTTTCCAACCAAACTGTCAGCACTGGCTTAGATACCATCAATGTCAGCTCCAGCACGGCACTGCTGGGACACAATGCCAGTGAAGGGAGCTAAGATCAGGCTTTTAGAGCAGCAGTGTCATCAGTGCCTGCCTGCAGTGATGTCTCTGTGGAGTGCAGAGCACTAACGCCAGAAGTGGAACCAATAAATATCAATGCAGGGAAACAAGTCAACATTCCTTTGTACATTAGTGTGCTCTTCTGCCTCTGCCCCCCAGACCTGTGGGATCAGCCTTGCAATGACACACAAGCCTCTGTCATAATAGTGTTTGGATTTCAGTTGATCAGTAGGCATGGTGAAATGTGACAGTAAGATGCTCAACTGGAACAGCAATAGCTCTTAATGCTATATATATATATGTATATATATATATATATGTATATATACTACATATTGGTACAATACATCTCAAAGATTCAATGGCCTACTGTAGCCATTTTTATGTGACAGGGTTAATCTTCGAATACTAGTGCATACAATAATTATTCTCCTCCAAACCATTGACATTACAGGGAATATTCTCTCTCCTTCCCATACACCTTTGTAATAAGACAATTAATTTTATTTCTTTAACTTAAGTGAATTAGCAGACTCTCCATCCCAGCTAGGAAATGGTTTCTCTCCTTCCTTGTTACAGTTACCAGTGATGTGGAATGGAATCACTTTTTTCTCTAGCTTTTCAGAAGGCATTTTCACATAGACTCCAGTAGTAAGACATCGTCTTCTCTTTATCTGTAAAATATGGGAAGACAATAAAATAAACAAATGATAACAGCACAATCATTGACCAGCACATTTTAGAGAAATCTGATGGATGTTCTGCCTTTACTGAGTAGAAGGTATTCTAGACACCTTTCCCTGACATGCCTCTTTATAGGAGATCTGTTGAGACCATCTGAGGGAGGATCAGGAGGTACAAAGGCTATTTAGATATACATATATATATATTAAAGAGTTCTGCCATTCATTTAGCCCTCTGAAGGTACTCCTGCTTCAGAGTTCAATGTTGCTGCAAAACTAGGAGTGTTCACACCAAACAGCTTAATTTAGTCTCTAGGGACAAGGGCTAATTGAAAAATATGGGGCAGAGGTACTGTTTGGTTTTAAGCTTTGCCATCAGGTTCATTTCTGTGAGTACTGCAGACTCCCATGGAAAGAGGCAACACAGGCTTACATTTTGCATGCCTTTGTGCAGAGATTTCTAGTTGTGAAGTTAAAAATTCTTTCAGTTACGATTCCCCACTATCCAAGGAGAAGCCTCTTTAAATTTGCTTTGCACGGAGGTGAATGGTGAGAAAAGGAAAAAATCAAATCCTGTGATTTTTTGTGACTCAGTTAAGAAATCAACAGATCTCCTGTTGCCTTTGATCCCCGAAGTGTCCAGGACTCTGACCCATTTTAAGCATCCAAATCTAAACCACGCTCAGTCAGTCCAGCTGATGAAAGCTGACTGCTTCCTAGTACTCTGGCAACACAAATGAGCTATAAACAAATATAAGTGGCAGCTCCAGGAAGTTCTCTTATCTTACAGTACTGTAATAGCGTTGCATAGTAAAATGGAACATCCCAGTGTGTTTGTTCCTGGTGTTCTCCTTTCTTTCTCCTTGTCCTCATCACACAAAGGGCATTATTAGCAGAATGAGGCTGAATTGATGGCACTTACCGCTTTGCCCACAAGAACAGCTGAGATGATGATACTGTAAAGAAAAAATCCTGAGGCAGTAGCTCCTAATACCCAGAGATGTATGGCAGTGTCTGGACAAGGTTCTGGATCTAAAACATAGGATATCACACAAGTCATGTCACACATGAGCCTCCTAAGGATGGCCCTATAATCAGTAAATCAGCCTCCACTCTGTTTTTCTCTAGCATATGCTATTCCAGGATACTACCAGGACTGACCTCTGAGTCCCTGCCCACTCAACCTCCAGTGAAAACAGGCTTTGTCTGTAGAAGAACATACATCTTACTCTGCTATTTCTTTACTTCTGTATCTAACTGTCCAGATATACATGGTGTTGCTTATGCTATCAAACATCCCTAAGTTGCTAAATAGATTGCATGACTCTGACTATGCTTGCTTTAGGTGTGTGGAGGGAGGCATGAAAGGAATAAGAGCTAATCATGATTTTCAGAGCTCAAACCAGTATTCACCCTCACTTCTTACAAACAGAACTCTAAAGACCTTTGAGACATAATAGCAACTCCCTTAACTTGGAAATATCACGGTGCTGTAAAGCTGTGGCTTACCAATGACATAGAGATGTGTCCCATTTCCCATGTTCGTGAAATAGGGAGGGGGGTACATCCGCTCCATCTTGCAGACGTACAGGCCGGTGTCACTGGCCTGCAGGCCAGCGAGGGTGAGGGTCACATTGTTTCGGCCAGGGCTGATGTGGCACTGCATGACCGCTTCCACACGGAACGTTTTCAACTCCGAGGTGTAGGTTGCAGCACAAATTTCAGTGAACCCATCCCCCGTCTGTTTGAGCAGCGTCACTCGAATTTCCTTTGCGTTCCCGATGTGCTTGTATGTACACACCAAGCTGGCAACTCCTTGCCTGTTGGCCAACACCATTGCTGGCTGAGTCACTTCCATTACTGTAAGGAAGTAAAGAGCATGATGGTAAGTGAACTGTCAGGAAATGATCTGCAGTCATTTACTTGAAACCTGCACTGTAGGAAGGGAGTTCTACCACCTCCTATTATCCATGGGTACTTCCTAGAAATGCTGCTTTCAAAAAAAGGACTCCAAGGCCACAATTCACATTAGCATTGCACTTAATATTCTATCTTCTTTAAAAAGCTCAAGAAATACTTTGATTACTAAAAATTATATTATGAATCTCAGCAATTACTTGCTACTTAAATAATAGGTTGTTTGGCCCACTTACTGGAGCAATGAATGACCTGCATGCTTTGGTTTCCCTCAACAGAAATTTTTTAATATATATAAGAAAACAGAAAAAAAATAGACTTCAGATGGTAAGACTGAAAATTGAATTTTAAAATCAGGCATTTAAACCACAATTTCTGCATAGTAGAAGTAAGCATGTTCACATTTAGAAACAACCTGTATGGAACATGGAACAGAGCCATTAGGGTTACAGTAAAACGGAATGGAAAACCTGTTTGCAAATTTTTGTTTCTGAACTTTTTTCCCCTTATTTTTAACCAGCTATTCCAAAACCACAATATAGCAGCACACAGCAAAGCCTGATAAACATACTGTAAAAAACACATTATAAATCTTAAGGGGAAATTAGTGTATCATGTACATCCCCACTGACAGTTTTCTACAACTTGTGTGCTCTATCCTGCTACACAATGAGAAGGCTCTGACTTTTGCTCTAATAAGCTGTGAAAACTCAGTGTTATTTGTTCAATCTCATTTTGTATCAGTCCATAATGGGGCAGGGCTTATCTTCTTCAATTCTACAGTGCAAGAATTTGAGATGAAGAAGAGTAGAATTTTTCCATCCATTCAAACCTCTATATCCATGTTATCAGCTGCCATAACTTCACTTGCAGGGCCTGGTTTGTCAAAATCTGTCTTCCTTCTTGAGGTACTCTGAATCCTGCCCAGTGTCCCCGCAGATGGTACTGCTCTAAAGTCTGTGTGTGGTTTTCCAGATACCTTGCAGTGCCCCAAGACCTTGCTCCCATCCGGTCCTCTGTCACCTCCCTCTCCCTGTTGTACCAAATCCATCACCTGCAAAGATGTGAAACTGAAAAGAGGCAGACTCCCCCAGATACCTTGCCTCCTTCATCTACCCACCTTCAGCACTGGCAGTGGCTGTGCAGAGAAAGCCCATGGTGACCAATATTGAGAGCATTCCTGTGCTGGGACAGATGCTGGAGGGGCTGAAGGTATCTGATGCCTTGAGACGTTAAGACAAACTGGAACTCTCAGGACTGGAAAAGAGATGACACCTTTCAGGATACTGAATCTTCGAAGTGTTTGAACCCACACAGAGCCAGTGTGTATATATAGCTTTGATCCAAGATGCTGTACCTGAAAGTAATATGAAGCTTTGTTTTGGTTTTACGAGAAAGGAAGTAGTGGGTTTGATTAGTACGTGCACAGTTAACCTCAAACAGCACGAACAAAAACAACTGTTCAGCAGATGGAAAATATATATTCAATCTGAAACTGCCGTCCATTCTGCTTGAAGAATTGTGGGAGGAAAGGTAATCATCCATTAGAGCAATTCAGCCCTTTGGTGCTGCCAGCTTGCAGAATCATAGCACTTAATATTTTAGAAATAATCAGGTATTTCCTTCTAGGACAACACACAGAGAACTATACTTCTGCCTAATGTGGCACAGTGAATCACTGCAAGCTGGTTTTTTTGTGAAGGACTTTCCTCCACCCCCAATATCTTTGCTTGCTTTAATGTTAGTGCTTTTGATGTTAAAAAATTGCTGCCCCCTCCAAAATACTGACTACACTTGCAATTACTTAATTTTTTCATATCAGCAATGTGACTTGAATCATAAGGGTTAAACCTCTTTAAGCTTTCCTGTTCCCAAGAAAAAATTATCTAGGTTTATAGCTAATGACTTCCACATCTGTACAGAATTTTCCCTACCAACGGACTTTACTG